TGGTCACGGACTGGCGCCGGGCAAGTGGACGCAAGTGGACGCACGCGGGCGTGCAGTTTGCGTCTCCTAGGCGCGCAAGGAATAACGCGCGCGTGTTGGCGAACATTGGGAGCACGGGCGGACGTCGACTGGTAGCGGAGTGGACGGCGAGCAGGCAGGTGGTCACTGGAAGCTCACGGGCGTCGACTGCACGTTGTTGGGCGTCGTTGGGCGTCGCTGGCAGGGCCTTGCGATACGCGACTGCTTGCGGTAGCGGGCGGTTGCGATCGGCTGGGCTCGGGCGACTTTTGGCAGCGGAAAGCGATTTCCGGCGGTGGCTCACGGCAGCGATGGGCGGCGATGAGATGGTGATGATGACCGAAAAATATAAATACAAAGGCTCGAATAAATTATACCCAAAAGCCTTCTAACGTATTACCTAAACACCTACTTCAATTAAACTTGGTGGAGCGTTTAATCGAATCTCCATAACTCTCGAACGATGTTATTTCTCATGTGTATGTAGAGGAGAAAAATCGGCCAAGACAACATCTATGTAGGAGAGGTTGGGACATGGTGTATTTATAGGCACTAATAGGGACCTTAAGGAGGTGCTAAATATGGGCTTATTCCATTAGGCCTAGGAGTTCTAATTCTAATCCAATACTAACTTAATTTAGGAAGGAGATCTCCTATTAATCCATCTCTTCTAGAAGACACCTAAGTCTCCTAACACCAGAGAAGATCCTTGTAGGAATATCTTTCCTAATTAAATTAATAATCATGGAATAGAATTAATCCCTAATTTAGGAAGCCTAATTTTACTCCAATTAATAATGTAATGTAGGAAATATATTTCCTACTAATCTCCATCTTCTAGAAGACTCCCAAGAGAAGATTCTAGTAGGAATTTTATTCTCCTAATTAATTAATTAATATGGAATAAAATTAATTCCTATTTAATGGAATTAAATAATAAAACATCCCACTAAAGTAATATTATTGCTCTCCCCATTTAGCCACTATTTTACCAATAAAATCGAGCCTCCATGATTAAATAATATTAATCCGATTGATCGATTTACCTCCCTATGTTTAAGATATAACGTTCGTTGATTAATTAAATTACTGACAAAATAATTAATCAACTTCTTATTCATTTCCGAAATTAGTACCACTCAGACCTTAACCATTATGTCAGACAATCGTCTACCTGCAGGGTTTAACATAATGTTCCTTCCTGAGCTCATTTCTTACTTGGAATGGCTGGGGCCTGGCTAATCGGGCCACTCTCGCTCATCTTCGCTCTCTTATTCGTGATCATAGTCTTGATTTTATTGGCTTTATCGAGCCGATGATTCGCACCCCTGACTTTGACTACTACTCACGTCGCCTTGGCTTCCACTCAGGCGTGGGTAACATTTCTCATAAGATCTGGATCTTCCACTCGCGCGATTACACTTGTCGGGTCCTCTGGGACACCGATCAGTTGCTTCATGTCGAGCTTTCTGCTGCCCACCTCTCTGAGCCCATATTCCACACTTTGGTTTATGCCAAGTGTAATAGGGCCGGGAGATATGATCTGTGGGACACCCTGCGTGAAATTGCTGAGAGTATGAATGGATTTCCATGAATGGTTAATGGCGATTTTAACATCTTTCTGCTCCCCGATGAGCGTGTGGGTGGACGCACGGACCGGTCCCGGGAGATGTGGGACTTTGCTCAGACTGTGGCAGACTGTAAGTTGATTGATGCTAGATGTGAGGGTGAGCCCTTCACGTGGGTTAGGGACAACCTCAAAGAGAGGCTCGACCGCGCTTTGGTTTCTGAGGCGTGGGTGAAGGTATTTGTGGTCACGGCCGTCACTTATCTCACTCGATTTGGGTCTGACCATTCACCCCTCCTCATTAGGTTTCAATTTTCGAGCACCCCCGTCATTAGGTGTCGATTTTTATCAGGACCGAGAATGGGCTGATCAAGCTTATGCACCTTCTGTAGCACTATAGCTCGGTTACCGGCCAGCTGATCAGTGTGCAGAAGAGCACCTTCACTCTCTCCTCCTCCAGCGCGGACATGTGGGCTTAGCGGGTCGTCGATATTACTGGCTTTGCGCGCGGCGACCTTCCCATTACTTACCTCGGTGCCCCCTTATATAAGGGCCACCTCACGAGAGCGCTTTTTGCGGACATTAGATACAGGATGACCGACAGGATCTCTGATTGGTCGCATAGACACCTTTCCTTCGAGGGTCAGCTTGCGCTGATCAAGAGCACCCTGAGTTCCCTTCTGCTTTATTTACTTATGGTCCTCGACCCCCCTAGGTCTAATCTTGACGAGATTGACCAGATTATGGCTCATTATTTCTGGGGTTACGAGGACGGTTTCGGGAGGGGGAGACGTACCCACTGGGTGAGTAGGGCCTCTATTTGCCGCCCTTTCTCTGAGGGCGGCCTTGGCATCCGACGCCTTAGGGATATTGTTACAGCCTTTTCCTACAAGTTGTGGTGGCGCTTCAGGGAAGGAACGTCTCTTTGGGCTCAGTACCTTCACGGCAAGTACTTCCCTAGATGCGCCAATCACCCTTGTTGGGTGATGGCGGTGGCTCATGATAGCAGACAGTGGCGGCGTCTTACTAGGGTCAGTAGGCGCGCCCAGGATCATATCTTTTGGGTATTAGGTGATGGCGCGGTTAGTTTTTGGGATGAGTGGTGGATAGGTGATAGGCCGTTGTCTAGGGATAGGCAAGTGTCGCATTCCCCCTTCCTGCTTGTGAGCGACCTTTGGACCGACGGGTCGTGGGATAGGGGGAAGCTTGATAGGGAGCTGGGACTTGTAGCGGGTTTTAGCGAGTATTTATTAGATCAGATCCAATAGATTCCCTTCTCGGGGGATGGTTCAGATGGCATGAGGTGGAGATTTACATCATCGGGTGTGTTTTCTACTACCTCGTCTTGGGAATAGATCAGGCTGAGAGATCTGCCTAATCTTCTCTTCGGAGCCATCTGGAGCCATCTTTTCACCCCTACTATTTCGGTATTCCTTTGGCGCCTCCTCTTGCGCCGGATACCTGTGGACTCTATTTTACATGCGAGGAGGGTCTCCTTCCCCTCCTGGTGTATGTGTTGTTCTGAGACTGGACGCCATGAGACTGAGACCTTTACCCACCTTTTTCTAGAGAGTGAGATTGTGAGGAGAGTGTGGGAGCATTTTGCCACTTGGACACATATATCCCTACCCTCCACAGACAGTGTCTTTGAGCTCCTGAGTTTTTTCTCACAGAGCACACACTTTAGACACGTGGGTTTCCTTATTCCTTGTTTGATCCTTTGGTTCACCTGTACGGAAAGAAATAGTGCGAAGCATGGGGATATTATTTTTTTGCTTTCTCACATTGTTTTATAGGTTGAGAGACATATTTCTGTCCTCACATCTTTGGGCAGGCTCACTGCCAGAGACAGAACAAGTTGCACGCCACCACACCGTTACATGTTGGCCCCCCCTGCGCCTGTTCAGCCCCCTCGGCCCAGAGCTGTTGTTTGGCTTCGACCCGATTCTCCTTGGGTTAAGCTGAACACTGACGACTCTTTCGATTGTCAGAATGGAGTTGCCGGAGGGAGAGGTTTGATCCGGTACCACAGCGGCGCCCTTATCACCGCCTTCCACACATCCTTTCAGGCCTCCTCGAGCTACGACGCAGAGATTCAGGCACTACAGATTGGCCTTCAGATTGCTTCTCACCTCTCTAGTCATATTTGGATCGAGCTGGACGCTGCGGCGGTCGTCACCATCCTGACCTCGGGCCACCAGGGCTTATGGCAGATTCAGCACCCGCTTATGCGTATTAGAGCTCTTCTGCGGTCTGTCCATCAAAGGATTACGCACATCTTCCGAGAGGGAAATAGACCTACTGACTACCTCGCCAGCCTTGGCGCCACCACACCTGACCTACACATGTTTCCGACCGAAACTGCTCCACTCTGCCTTCGCACGCATGTACGGATGGATCAGCTTGGATATCCATCTTTCTGCACTAGATTTTGTTTTCATTAGATCATACATTTATTCCGGGCACCTGTTAGCCCGATGACAGACCTTGTATTTTTTCCTTTTTCTGGCTAGGTTAGTTGTGTCTAGTTGCTAGGATAGTTTTATCTATTTGCATATTTACTTATTTATTATGCATTTTGAGTTTATTTTTCCTTCATAATTTCATATAATTGTTCATTATGTTTTGTTTTATGTATAAACAGGGTTATAAATCCAAGCTATTTAGCAAGGTTATGTGTTTGGCTACTGATGTGGTTGATGTTATAACCTTGCTTGAAGAAGCACCCCATGAAATAAATGAAGATTTAAATTACAATAAGATTCAGGAAGCATCCGAAAATCATATTTCTTCTAGTCCTTATGTAGCGCCCCATTGGTTCAGCATTATTTTGGAATATTTTACATTTATTTTATTATTATAATTTATTTAATTCGAGCTCGATTAATATTTTATTTGAATATGTGATAGTAACTGTCTAATTGCTTTAGTGTATTAATATTAAATCGAGCCGAATTACTTATCTATTTAACCGGATAATCGAGGAACGTGTTAAGCGAGGATTTAATTTCGGACGCATGCCATATCATCGTGCCGCAATTGCGTCCTTTCCATAGCCCGTGCCTGTTCACGTATACCGCTTGGCCCGAGTTCTTGTATGCATGGCCTTTTGAAATTCAATTTTGGTAACTCCTTGTTTCAATAACCAGCCAATTTTAATCCTAATTAGGAGTATCTTTGACTCTTTAATTAAGTTTTATTGGCCCCTAATTATCCTCTCCCCATTAAATCTCTCTCTTCTCCCCCACGTTCGAAAAATGAGATTTCCCTCCCCCTTTATTCTCCCATAATGAAACTGTTATATCTCTCTCACTCTATGAAAAATTCGCTCGCACAGAAAAAACAAGAAGAAAAATCTCTTGATCTCTTCATCTCTCTCATTGCTATTTGCAGCACTCTCTACTTTCTTCTCTTATTAATATCCGATCGCCGCTGTATTTCTTTTATTCCCATCGCCGCCTGTCACCATTGCCGCGCAGCCGAGTCGACCTGCTGCTCCCAGACCACCGTCGTGCATCATCTCTGCGAGCTCGTCCAACGAGCCTTTCTTATCGCGCGACTGCCGCCGTAGCCTCTCCATGGGATGCCTGCTCAGCACCTCACACGAGACCACCTCCGCCATGTCTGCCAATTAACCGTGACGCCGAGCCTGCTACTTCAACGTACGAAGGGCCTGAGATTGCAACCCTCCCCAACCCGCGCCGGACCAGTAGAAATGCCCGACGCTGCCGCACCAACTCGCTGAAATCATCTTCTCCGCTGTCCACGCGAATAGCTGTTCGTCTGACCCGCTGTTGGGCCCGCTTCCTGTTCGATAACTCGTAATTTCCCGAAGTTGGGTAACTTATTCGAATCCTCTCGTTATTACAGTCGTTCTCATATATCGCATGATAGATATTCATATCATACGGGCTATCGAATTTGTGGTTGAAGTCGGATTCTTTTTGGTTTGTTTATCTGTTCATATATGTTTATCTGTCCTTCGATTTTTCTGATTTTAGACTCTGACAGTAATGGAACTTTGGACTGAGTGTATCGTCATTGAATAATCTATTTGTCTGCAATTCATGTTCCGAATATGCTTTTTGTTGTTGTAAACTATGTTTGATTTTATTTGTTTTAGGTATATATTAATGCCTCTGTAAACTATGTTTGAATTTGTTTGTTTTAGATATATATTAATGCCTCTCCTTGCTGTTTGTTCTATTTATTTGCTGCTAGAATGCGTAAACATTTTATCAAAGCACATATGGTACTTATCAGTTGTGTCTAATTCGTATAGGTATGATAATTGATGGTTCTGAATTCTGAAATATGAGTGATTATTAACGATTTCTCTTAACATAATTACAATTGGGTAATAAGCAATTCCCAGTAAAGTGAGTGAACAGGGGTCTTGATAACAATTTTATTCTCTGTGTTAATATTCTCTTTCTTTTGTTGGAAATCCTTGCATAGATGATACATTAAAAATTTGAGTTACTTTTGGTTGATAAGAGAAACTAATCAAAGCATTGCAATGTGTGTAGTTTAGTTAAGCTTACTTCAACAATAGATCTTGGTGTGAGGAAGGCCTGTCAAAATTTTATGTTGTCATCTTTGAACTATATTTATTTGAAGGTCCAATAATCTTTATGATAAATGGCCTTATTTGTTTTCGGTGTCTTCATAAATACTGTAAATGCACGATTAAATACTTATGTGAACTTAGTTGGACTAAGTGATTATTGTATAGTCATTTATAGGTTATTTTATTAAATGTAGGTGTTTGGAAAGTTGAGCCTCACCGACCTACCGATTTATTTGTGTGCTTTTTCTACCTAGGCATCCAGGTGGGTACAGTTTGTGTATCTATAATTATCGCATTTCGTTATTTCGTATAAATATTCGTCTCGATACCTTTAGTATGTCTGAGAACCCTAGACTAGTGTGTTACACCGCCAGGGGCGTCTCGCCTTTAGTGCCTTAGATGAATGCATACGCAGTGCGAGGTCACCTGCCCGTCGTATTCGGGAGGAGGACGCCCTAGCCCGTGTGTTGGGGAAAAAATATCTCGACCTGTTAGAGGTATGCTGTAAAAGCTATGTTTTGCAAATTCTATCAATTATATTTTGATCTGGCCATCATGTTTCGGTCAAAGTACATACGGTTGCAATACATACTCCATGTCTTATATTGAGGTAGTGTGGTTTGAAGAGTTTCGAACAGAAAGATCACCCATCGGTTTCTTGTAAGACTAAACTATTCGTTCACAGTCTAGACTGGCAGTGAGACCCCACTTGGAAAAAGACTGTAGTGTATTCTTGATTCAGTTGGTGTTTGACTGAAGGATTACACTAGCACTTATGTATGGATGTGATAGACATATCAACAATCGGAAGAGCCACCGGATGGGGTCCACCTGTGGCGAGGCTGAGTCGAGCCACCTGTAAGAGGTGGGAAGTGGCGTAAAGATCGAAGAGTAGGAGAGACAGTCCGCCGAGTCTTGCGCGGTGTGGGTCTGGTCTTTGAAGAGCGACGCCCTCGATAGGTGCTCGTAGCCTGCGAATCATCCGACTGAGCAATCTAACCCAGACCGGCACTAGGAGCCTGTCTCATCTTCGGGCCAGTCTCCTGTCTGTCATAGTGCACGAAAGCACTAGAGGTGAAACTCTCGCACGAGATATCGTGATGGGCGCGGTTAAGACCACATGTCTGCTCAGGAAGGGGAGGAAGAGAGACTCCCATCGGCATAGCACTCGGGTGCTCGCCGAAAGAGTGAGGCTGAAGACTAGCAGAGGCGATATGTGCTGGCTCAGTCGGGCTCCCAATCCAGCAGAGGGGATACGTGCCGGCTCATCCCCTTTCAGGGGAGCGGTGACGGGAGCAGTCCTCATCTCCGAAGAGCGGTCCTGGCTAGATGAATGGACATGCAAAGGAACAACGACACGAGTGTTGTCATCAGATAAATGGATAGACGTGCCACTGGACGAGGTGGACGGCTGCTCCAGGTCATCTAGAAAAAGATCATCATCATCTAAAAGAGCAAGATCCGAGAGCCTATGAGGGTCACTAAAAGGCTTGGCCTCATCCTCTGGCTCACGGGAGAGGACATCAAAGCCCGAGTGATTGGCCTTAAAGGCCGACTGTAAAGTATCCTTGGGAAGGAAGCCCGAGGCTTTGGCATTGGGCCCTACTGTAGCCAACAGCTTAAGCTGAGCATCCGTCCCAATCTGGGCAGTGGCGTCCATCACGACCTGGCCCTTATCCGTGGCCCCTTTTGGGAACCCGGGCACATAGAGAGGGCCTTTGCCCTTTCCTTTTGGGTCCCTTCGGCCGTTTGATGGTCCTGGCTGGGTCGCACGACGGCGCTGAGGCGGAGTGGGTCGTGGCTTATTGCCAATGATGTAGAAATTGACCGCTATGTGTCCCACATGACTGCACGAGGAACAGAAAGCAAGGATCCTCTCATAGATCACCCGCTGAACAAAGGTCTCTGAACCCTTCTCAATCACAATCTCGTGGATAGGCTCCACTCTGAAATCAATCTCAACACAAAACCGCGCCATATTAGCCCTGGAATAGAGGGCATTCGGGGCATCGATACGGACCGATTTTCCAACACACTTAGCAAGTATGGTGATGGAATCCCGGTGATAAAGGTGTGGTGGAAGGCTGGGGAGGCGGCACCACACGGGGACGACGGGCGTCTCCATCTTCGGGTTGAACCCGGAAGTGTACTTGAATACCCTAGCTGAGCATCCACACACGGGGATAGAGGTTTTAAGCCAAGCCTCATTGTAGTCCTCGGGGAGATTAAACGAGACTAAGAGATGATTGAAATTATACCACTTAAAGGATAACCTACCTTTAAAACCTAATTTGCCTAAGTCAGCAGCAAGGTCTCTGCGGGGAGGGGGGAGGGGGGAAGGGGGAGGGATGGCATAGGTAAACTTAAACACAAGGGTGTATACCTTGGGCGTTGGCCGTGGAGTACTCTTTTCGTCATCTCTCCTCCCTGTAATGACCTCTCGGAAGGAAGGCGGGCTCATTGAGGTGCCTGGAAGAGGCCCGGATGTGGTGGGATTGACTGTGGGAGTGCCCGTCAGCAGTGACCCGATCAGGGGATGATCGAAAAATTGGGCCTTGGGTGTCGAGCTTGGGCTCTCAACAACCACACCATCTTCTCAACAACCACACCATCTTCTCGCCGACGTATGCCAGGGACCTGAACTCCAGCGTCTGCTTTGCGTAGACCGCGCTGGGGAAGTTTGAGGTGATTCTCCTCAGGAAGAACGATGCCACGAGGATGCCAGGGACGGGGACTCTGTCGAAGCCTGCGATTTTGGCGCGGTCTGGGTCGGAGTGGATCGGGTTAAAGTCGCGGGTCAGCTTCGAATACTCAGCTATGTCTGACGCAGAGAATGTCTTTGCCTGCGAAAATACGTTGCCTGGTTCGAGAACCTTCTTTGCCGGCGAGGAATATTTCCAGAGAGTGCGGATCGAGATGCGGAGGGGACGATACATTGAATTGTATTATTCAAAACAATTCGGAGTAGCTACGAACACACCAAAAGACTCAAAATCAAGACCCGAGGAAGGACAACCCAGGCTGCAACCTCGGCTCATTAAATTAAGGCAACAAATGTTTGATTAAATTGAAACCTGAAGAACATCCCAAAATATTAAAACCTGCGGAGACGGCAGATGCAGGCCTGCCCGTGACCCGAAAATAATACGGGCTTCAACCTCGGGTCCCTCGGTGCCTCTCCCCTTCCATACAAGAGAATCACCTTATCATCCTCTTACTGGTACTCGTGTGCCCGGGAGCATGAAGCGTCGGGTTTAGGGTTTTGAGAAGATTTAGAATTGGGGCTATCTCGGTTGAATTATGAAAAAACAATTTGGATTGGGCTGGATCCCCAACCTGTACATAGATCAAGACCCCAAAACGGGTCCAAAATATCAAACCGCTATAGTCAACATAGTCTCATAGTAAAAAAAAAGAAACAAAAACAGAAAAAAAATAATACAAGGTCTGTCATCAGGCTAACAGGTGCCCGGAATAAATGAATGATCTAATGAGAGCCAAAATTCTAGTCTACTAAAAGCGGAAAGAAGGGTAGCCAAGATGGTCCACCCGTACCAGCGTGCGAAGGCGGAGTGGAGCAGTGTCGGTCTAAAGCATGTGTAGGTCAGGTGTGGTGGCACAAACGCTGGCAAGGTAGTCAGCAGGCCTGTTCCCCTCACAGAAAATGTGCATAATCATGTGATGGACAGACCGCAGAAGAGCTCTAATGCGCATAAGCGGGTGCTGAATCTGCTACGAGCCCTGGTGGCCCGAGGTCAGGATGTTGACGATAGCCACAGCGTCCAGCTCGATCCAAATGTGACTAGAGAGATGAGCAACAATCTGTAGGCAAATCTGAAGTGCCTGAATCTCTGCGTCATAGCTTGAAGAGGCCTGAAGGGACGTGTGGAAGGCGGTGATGAGAGCGCCGCTGTGGTCTCGGATCAAACCTCTTCCTCCGGCAACTCCAGTTTGGCGATCGAAAGAACCATCTGTGTTCAGATTGACCCAAGGTGGATCGGGTCGAAGCCAAACAACATCTCTGGGCCGAGGAAGCCGAACAGGCGCAAGAGGAGCAACTATGAAACGGTGTGGTGGCGTGCATCCTGTCCAGTCTCTGGCAGTGAGCCTGCCCAATGAGGTGAGGAGTGAAAGATGTCTCTCTACCTGCAAAATAATGTGAGAAAGCAAAAAAGTAATATCCTTATGCTTCGCACTATTCCTTTCCGTCCAGGTGAACCAAAGGATCAGACAAGGAATGAGGAAGCCCACATGTCTAAAGTGTGTGCTCTGTGAGAAAAAACTCAGGAGCTCAAAGAAACTGTATGTTGTGGGTAGGGATATATGAGTCCAAGTGGCGAAGTGCTCCCACACTCTCTTCACAATCCCAGTCTCTAGAAAAAGGTGGGTAAAGGTCTCGGTCTCATGATGTCCGTTCTCAAAACAACACATGCACCGAGAGGAGAAGGAGATCCCCCTCACATGTAAAATAGTGTCCACGGGTATCCAGCGCAAGAGGAGGCGCCAAAGGAAAATCGAAATGGTAGGGGTGAAAAGATCGCTCTAGATGGCGCCGAAGAGAAGATTAGGCTGATCTCTCAGCCTGATCTGCTCCCAAGCCGAGGTAGTAGAAAACACACCCGATGATGTAAGTCTCTACCTCATGCCATCCGAACCGTCCCCCGAAATGAGAATCTGCTGGATCTGATAAAATAAAAGCTCACTTAAACCTGCCCCAAGGCCCAACTCCATATCAAGCTTCCCCCTATCCCACGACCCATCCGTCCAAAGGTCGCTTACAAGCAGGAAGGGGGAACGCGACACCTGCCTATCTCTAGACAATGGCCTATCACCAATCCACCACTCATCCCAAAAACTGACCTCGCCATCACCCAAAACCCAAAAGATGTGATCATGGGCGCGCCTACCGACTCTAGTGAGATGCCGCCACTGTCTAATGTAATGAGCCACCGCCGTCACCCAACAAGGGTGGTTGGCGCGTCTAGGGAAGTATTTTCCATGAATGTACTGAGCTCAAAGCGACTTTCCTTCCCTGAAGCGCCACCACAACTTATATGAGAAGACAGTGACAATATCCCTAAGGCGGCGGATGCCAAGGCCACCCTCAGAGAAAGGGCGGTAAATAAAGTCCCAACTCACCAGTGGGTACGTCTCCCCCTCCCGGAGCTGTCCTCGTAATCCCAGAAATAACGAGCCATGATCTGGTCAATCTCGTCAAGAGTGACCTAGAGGGGTCGAGGACCATAAGTAAATGAATAAAAAGGGAGCTAAGGGTGCTCTTGATCAGCGCAAGTCGACCCCCGAAGGAAAGGTGTCTATGCGACCAACCAGAGATCCTGTCGATTATCCTCTGTCTAAAGTGGCACCGAGGTAAGTAATGGGAAGGTCGCCGCACGCAAAGCCAGTAATCTCGTAGACTCGCTATGCCCACTTGTCCGCGCTGGAAGAGGAGAGGGTGAAGGTGCTCTTCTGCACACTGATCAGCTGGCTGGTAACCGAGCTATAGTGCTCCAGAAGGTGCATAAGCTCGATCAGCCTATCATCATCTGCCCGGGTGAAGATTATGATGTCATCCGTATAAGAAAGATACGAGATGGGAGGACTGTAGCCACATGTGTTGTATATCATCCGTGGATAGTCGCGGATGAAGCCGTCAAGGCAACGAGAGAGGTAGTCCGCCGCAAGAACAAAAAGGGATGGGGAAAGGAGGTCACCCTGTCTAAGGCCCCTAGATGTGGGGAAGAAGTCGGTGCGGCTACCATTAACCAGGACCGAGAACGTACAGTGCTCCATACACGCCTCAATAAAATTGATCCACCGCTCATGAAATCCCATCCTAGCCAGTGCCTCCCTAAGAAACGGCCACTCCACTCTATCATACGCCTTAGCCATGTCTAGCTTCAGCGCAACGTTCGGTGCCCGCTTCCAATCTGCATGAGAGATATCGTGGATCATCTCCTAGACCAAAAGTATGTTATCACTAATGACTCGGTCCTTGACGAAACCACTCTGGTTCAGAGAGATGAGGGAGGGGAGAAGAGGGGAAAGGCGGTCGTTAAGAATCTTCAAAATGAGCTTATTGGTCACGTTACACAAGCTGATGAGCCTGTAGTCAGATCAAGAACTCGGGTTGGGTCTTTTAGGAATCAAGACAACAGAGGTAGACATGTAGGAATCCGGCATCCGGTGATCGGAGAAGAAATCCAACATTGACTCCTCAACATGAGGCTCGACAATATCCCAGCAGACCTGATAGAAGAGAGAAGAGAACCCATCAGGGCCAGAAACGCTGTTGGAATCATTCCCGAAGACAGCATCCCTAACCTCCTCCCTGCTTGGGAGCTCACAGAGGCCGACAAGGTCGACCGAAGGAGGGATGGTGGGGAAGAAAGATGCGATCGGGCATCGAGGGCCCCTATGTCAGAGGTGAAGAGGGTCTAGAAGTGGGCAACAGCCGACTTCCGAATCTGAGACTCCTGGGTCACGGATGACCCATCAGCCTCAATACTGTGGGTGTACGACTTAGCACGCTTCTGCCTAACGAAGCCCTGGAAGAACCTATTCATAGCAGGATCTTGGTCAGTAACAATTTAATATGGTTCATTTCCCATTGCTTTCAAAAAATTTTCCAACAACCAAATGTATGATTCTTTATTCTCTTTAACCATCAATCCAGCTCCAAATGTGATACACTTTTATGGTTATCAATTCCTGTAAATGGTACAAACACCATGTTGTATCTGTTGAAAGATAGAAAGCAAATCATAATAAATTAAATTGTTAAGTAGTACATTACTTGCAAGTTTAGTTGTATTTAGATGCAATGTTAGTTGACTGTAGTTTCTAGGTTAGTTATTAATAGTTTCTAGGTTAGTTGACTGTATTTTCTAGATTAGCAGTTTGTAGATGCTAGATTAGTTTTATTTAGTTGCTAGTTTAGTTGTCTGTATTTGCTAGGTTAGTTGTATGTAGATGCTAGGTTAGTTCTATTTAGTAGTTATGTTAGTTGTCTGTAGTTGCTAAGTTAGTTGTCTGTAGTTGATAAGTTAGTTGTCTATAGTTGCTAGGTTAGTTCTATATAGTTTCAAAGTTAGTTATGTCTAGTTGCTAGGTTAGTTATCTGTAGTTGCTATGTTTTTTTTTTTT